GTTGGTTTTGCCCACTAACTGTCCAGCACGTGTCCAGCATGGCACAACTTGTGTTGAAGGATGGCTGCTTATCAACAGCCGTGTCCAGGAGAAACACGGTACTGCTGGTCCAAGCACAAGCCCCGTTGGCTTGCTTTCCTCTGGGGTGTTTTATGCTCTATTTACAGGTGTGGATGCGGGGATGGTGAGTGCAGGCAGCGTTCCCACATCGTACCCTCGTGATGGTGTCTGGCTTTGGTGAGGAGCAGGCAGGAAAGGCTGGTGCCCTCGGCGTGGGGTGGTGCATGCACCAGCAGGGCTGGGAGGGAGGAGGGGGGCTCCCGGGCGGTTGCAGACAAAATCGCTAAACCTCGCCTTATCCCACATTATCCTCCCCTCAGCTGTTCAGCTGGGTGATGCCATGTGGCGTTCAACAACTGCCGCATTCCTCTCGCGAGGTGGCTGCCATGCAGCGGCTGGGGCGAGCATGAGGGGAGCCCTCGCTTGGCTCCTGCAAACTCTTCCATCCCAGAAATGCTGCAGTTCCTGGGGAAACTTAGTGTCTCCCACGCTGCTACCCTTGGAGGGCACCTGCCCTGCAAAAGGCCTCATGGGCAGTGCACCGCCGTCCCCATTTTACAGGCAGGTGACTTGAAGACGAAGCTGTCTGGCCGACATTGTGTGTTAGTGAGTGAAAGAGCTGGGAATAGGTCCCACATCTCCTTTTCCTGTGCTCTGTCTGCTGGATCGTGGCCTTTCCCTCAAGTGCAGGGGGTTAACAGAAACCTGTCCTGGACGTGTGTCAGACAGAGCAGTGACAGCTTGGTTGGCCTTCAGTTGTGTTTCAAGTGGTAGACAGATCTTCAACGGCTCCATACTTCCACCTAGTGATGAAGAGCTACTGCTCACACCTCCTGCTTTTCTCTCTGACCTTTTCGGTTGCAACGCGGGAATGTTTCTCAGTTTCCCAATGCTGAGCCTGTCCATAAGGCTATTTTTAGTCACACACCTAAAATCTGCAACCTCCAAATGAATAACTGCAAACAAACAAAACCAGATGGCCTGGGGCGATGTTTTTGAGCAGAACTTTCCTTCAGTGGGAAAAAAATTGCTTGCACATATACACAAACGTGCACTTACTCCTCAAACTACACTGCTTTCCTCTTGGTGGGTAATCATACCTAAACATGGTCATCAGCTTGTAGTGGGAGAGTATTTACACTTCATATAACGAGACCCCTGTGTGACTTGACCATTCCTCTCCTGGTCTGAATTATGGGTCTCTGTTTCTGGTCATTAAGGACAATGTTCTTCACCAGCTTCCCTCTTTCTTTTCATATTTCAGCTCCTTCAGAGGGATGGTTCCGTACACAGTGTCTTACCTAATCTGTGACTTTTTGCAAAGAATAAACTCTTTGTCCCAGTCAAATCCTTTAGATCTGCAAACCTAGGACATTTTGTTGAGAATTTCCTATATAAAGCATTTCCTTAGGATTGGATCACAAAATGCTATACAGAATGACAGAGGTGATAACTCATTTTTTTGCTCACTATGATCTAGAGAGTTTGAGTGACTGAGTATGTCAGGAACAGAAGTGTCAGGGCCCTGAGGGCAGCAATAAGCATTAATCACTCTGATCAGCCTCACTCGGGACCCCCATCCACACCCTGCCCATGGGTCAGGAGCCCCATTTAACCTCAGGTTTGGGCCTGCAGTCCCTCCCTGAGTTATGTTGTAGGAATACTGGTCTTCAGTCCCATCTCTAGTCCTGACTTCTAGCTGGATCATGGGCCCATGTCGTAGTTGAGTCTCCAGCCACGTCTCCTCTTGCTCCTGAGGGGGGACCCTGGAGGGATCCTGGACCTGGTCCATCCCCTCATTTGGGGCTGTCAGTGGACACTGTTACCAGCATCTGGCTCTGTCTTCTGTGTTCAAGTTATCATCATCTTTGAACCGTCTCTTCTTTGGCAACACTTTTTTTTTTAAATTGAGAATTCCCTCAAGTTTGCTCTTTCTTCTAACCATGTTTCCAATGTAATTCTGGCTAATAAGTAAACTGAGTGTAGACTACTGAGCAGGATAAGGGTTAACTTTCATTGGGCTCCTGTAATCATTGGCTATATGCAGCTGAGACATTTGGTCTTGGCCTAAGAATAAACCAAACACAACTGGTTCTACTGCTGGGCAGAGCTCCAGAACTTCCCTGAAGGTTGATTGCCTGTGACTTTGTGCCACTGTGTCTCTGAATTAAGCCTGAGGAAAAACAAGCAAGCCTGTTCCACCTCTCTTTGCGATGAGGTAAGAGCACGCATACATACTGCTGCTGTTCGACTGGTGCATGGTAACTCATTAAGCTGTAGTTACGCTGGGGTGTCTGAGAGCTTCCTCTGAATTTCAGTGGAAACTTCCATGAAGGCATCCATATGAGTGCAGGGGCTCAGCAACCCATCCTGTTTCTGGTGGCTTCATCAAAAACCATCTGGGCTTCAAACAGATAGGTGCAGAGGTGGGAGAAGGGGTGATGTTCACACAGCTATTCAGCACCTGATGGAGGCTGAGCTGGGTCTTCCCTGCAGCCAGTGGAGGCACCTGGTTCTCCATGGGGTGAATGATAACACTGTGTAAGTCCACTGCACTCTTTTCCGCAGCTGACTGTATAAGGACCTGCAGGGGTGTAAGCACGTGAGGTGTGGCAAGGGGTCTGAACACCCTTTGGGCAGAATTCCTGCCAAATGCAGACACTGTTGGGAATGCCATGGAAAAACTGAATTAAGAGTATATAAGGAAACCCTGAAGTCTATTTGCTGTGAAAGTCACTCGCAAATTGGATATCAGCATATGAAGAAACAATTCAATCAGTTTTTCTGTCGTGTTGTGGGGGAAAAGGAGGATAAAATGGATTCATTATCCTCCTGTTGGAGGATCTAGTCATATACCAACGGAAGAACAATTCCAGATTACTCCTATTACGGTCATTAAAGACTTGGAACAAAACAGTTAATAGCAACAAGTAACTTAGGTTAATAATTAAGCATGCCCAATGGATGGCTCTGGGCTGTCTGTGACAGGCATTGAGCCTTTTGAGAAACTAGTCTGGTGGGTTTCAGCACACCGTGACTCAGTTACCCACGCAGCGACTGAACTGAGCGCCTAACACAACCTCAGACTGAAAATTGCGGTAGAGCTGGTGTCAAAGGAATGGAGCAGTTATGCTGGTATTGGAGCCTCCACACCTCCCTCATCGGAGGAGTAGAAGAAGAACAAATTGAATAAGGTAAGTAATACTAGGAGAAGTCCTAATAAGATAATAAAAGTCAACCTAAATGACCTTTTATGTACCTGCTTTGAAATGCAAGGTTCACATGCATCAGGGTTCTTGACTCGGACCCCTGTAAATTGCAGTTATGTTAAAACGTGCAAGAAATAGAGTGAGAGTAGTTACAGTAGGTCTTGTGGTACAATAAGCAATAGAAGCTTAGAAGCTGGCTTTATGGGGACAGCGTGTTTGCCATAGTTACGTGGTAACTAAAGCTTCTGCCCAACTCTCACTTCTAAAAGTGCCTCGTACAGTGATTGTGATTTTTGCCCTTTAGATCCTGCCATAAAAACAATCCGAAATCCTAAATTATCTTCTTGCCATTTGATTTTATCTTTATGCCTGGCGCTTTTGTGGTCTGAACTGAGTTTTAACAACCAAGGGCTGTTCTGGGTAAGGGTGTCCCAGTCTCTGTGCTCACTGGTGAGAATTTGAGGTTCTTGCTCATTTAAAATGTGGCTAAAACAATTGACCCATGTTTATTTCTGTACTAATACAAAACCCAGGGTGAAGGCAGTGAAGTTGATGGTCTATATTTTTAAATGTTAAAACAGTTCTTGGCACGGATTTGATAAGGGGAATGTGTGTTATGACTGGCTATGATAGCAAGTAAGACCAAGGAACTTCCCAAGCTACAGGGACTCAAATGTTCATATTCTTAAAACAATTCCCAGCACTGTTGTGAACAAGTTTACCAGTGCTCTTCCAAGCAATTCCTAAGCACACCTGCAGGAGCCAGCAGGGGCCATTCCTAGTTTGGAGCTAGCTGTGGAAGGCTAGAGAGCTTAATAGCATAGTCAAGTCATTTGCTTTCAGAGCTGGAGAATGACCATGGCATGATTTAGTTTCATGTAACAGACGCAACAATTTTGCATAAAGCAGCTCAGAGCTAGGAGAGTTTAACACCATTGGCTCTAAATCCCGTAACTGCTTTCACTAATTCACCTGTGCCTGCCACTTAAGCAGAGTCAGTCTTACGAAACACGGCCCCAGTGGGGGAACGCTCATCCTCAGCTTGGCTGGAAAGTCATCTGCTCGAAGGGGCATGCGTTCTATGTAGATCTGTTGGGCGGGAGGAAAAACAGTATGGTTTGCAATATATTGGTCCTTTATACTGTGTGAGAGATGAATCAGTGTTTTCTCCGTCATTCCACATTGCAGTCCGTCTTGTCTGCTATAACACAGACCATTGCTCCCACAGGTCTGCAATGTGAAGAAAGAATACAGATGGGGTTTGTTTTAAAGTTACAGGGGAGGTGCTAAGGCCCCAAGCCATGATCCTGGAGCCAGTCTCTTATGAAATCCCCATCCAAAGTCCAAGATGAACCTCTGGAGACCATCCTTTCTGAGTGCTGAGCTGATAATCTTTACACAGTGTCTTTAGAGAGGTGTTGTCTCCAATCAGACTGGTCATACAACACCAGCAAAATCCAGTGCCACTGGGTTGGATACAGACTGACTGTGAGTGCTAGGTGTGGAGAAGCATCTTTAAAAGGTGCTGAATGTTATGGAATATTGACTGCAGCATATTGGACATTGTCCACCCTTATCAGTGGCTTTTCATGGCATTATTTCCATAGCCAGTGGAGATTTCTGGATTCATTGTTAATTTTCCCTGTTCCACCTGGGTTCATCTCATGCCTGTTGGTTTTCATTCACTTGATGATAGTCATATCACTGTTTGCACGCCGATATTAAGGGATCATGATGCGAGTATGTCCAATATTTGGCTTCAGTGATCAATGCTGGTGTTCAGTGAGAGTGCATTCATGCACAGCTAAGAAGTTGGAAATCTCCCAAAATGCTAAACAGGAAACTGGTTATCGCTGTAAAAGGACTTCTGGGAGGTTCTGATATTTGGCTACAAAAAAAGAAGCCAGCCATTGGTTCATCTCTATTAGCTTCAGGCGATGAGGGTCCCCAAAATAAATCCTAAATTATCTTAAGAATTCGATGCTTTTATGAAAGGCATTCTATAGCAAGTTACAGGTGACTTAATTTCATGAAGCAAGAGTTCCTTTTCAGACCTGTGTTTCTTTCTTAAGGACTTTGTCAAGAAAGAGCTGGACAGGCTGTCTTGGAGCCAGAAGAGGATATATTTTGTGGGCAGCCCTAAGTTTGGGAGGGTGTACAGAAGTCAGCAACCACATTTCTTTGGGAGCCGGAGGAATAAACATGAGGTTTCTTGTCTTTATTTTAATTCTTGAGGAGAACAGGAAGCTCAGACTGTAGCTCGGTTCATCAAGTCCTGAAGGCATCAACCCCCCCCCCCGAGGGGAAGCAGGACTATTACACAGGGGAGACAGTTGGGGGAAAAAGGATGAGCAATACGACTAATTTGGATGCCTGAGAAGGAGAAATGAGATGAAGGGCGGGATCACAGGAGGACAGCTGTCAGACTACTACATCTTGTCCTGAATGAGATGTTTTAGATGTTTCCATTGCACTTCAGCCTGACATAGCTGGGTTGTTTTTGCAGTGACAGCCACGGGACTGCTCATTAAGCCCAGAGAGGGCAGTGTTGCTGGAGGAACATGGATTACTATTACCCTGGACGGTGAGTTTTAAACTCTTATAAAGCACATGTCAAAGTAACAGAGAATCAGCTCCATTCTGAGATTTGTGGTTGGAGTGACAAACCCTAAATAACAGATACATGAGCTGTGGCACCCATAACATGATATCGGCTTGAAATTATTACTTCATAAGCTATTGGTGATGGTTGCTTGTTTTTAAGTTCTTTCTAAGCAAGAAAAGTCAGATTTCTACCTTATTTTTGTAGACTTAGGGCTAGAAATTTCCTCCCTGCCACCATTTTTTTGAAGGAAAGCTGAGAGTCTCCTCTATTCATAGGTTCTCTGATGCTGGAGCTTTAAAAACACTAATGATAAACATGAGATATGAGTAAAAATCACAGAAATGGATATGCCATGCTCATTTGGGCCCAAAACCAACTGTGCAAAGCTAGGCCTGATTTTCAGCAGTGCTGAATATCGATTTATTGGGAAGAGAGTTGGTTTCTGGGACAAGTGTATGTTTGGTTTAGCTGCTCAAGTTCTGACACTGTTGTTTATAACTATGATGAATGGTATCAGTCTTATTTGTCTGAATATTGTGCGTTCCCATAGAGATGATGAAATGGAGGGAGGAAAGACAGCTCGTGTCTTCATGGGAGATGCTTCTCCAACAGCACTGTGTGGCAGGCAGAGACAGTCACAGCTGTGAACTCACAGTTCAAGCAAAGTCTCTTTTTTTGGTGGGGGGAAGCGGACAGCCAGGCCTTGGGAGAAGGTGAAAAACGTTCCTGGGACCAGGAGGAAATGTGCAGTTTTCTGTAAATCGAGAAACCACTGATGTCATTTAAAGTGAGTCTGTGGGCTGGGAACCACCTGTGAAGACCGTGAAAAAAGGGAGAGTTGTTTGTAAGCCTTCTTCATTTCTAGTTGTACTTGATTATGCTACAAAAGTTAAGCATGGTAGTTTATGTTCAGATAAAGCTTGACTTTCTGAAGATTAAAAGCCTTTGATCCTTTGGACAGATCACTCTAAAGAAATGGGCTAAGCAGATCCACCTTACAGCACAGGCCAACTTGAGGTCCTGTCAACAAAACTATGCAAGACATCAGCAACTGTAAAGACTGTGTTAAATGGTACTAATTTGGAGGTGCTTTAAATATCTATGGACATGTGTTTTTTCCAGTGTAGATGGCTGAAGTGTTTCAAACCCCCAATAACTGTCAATCTCTGCAGTAGAATACATGTGGGAGAGACCAAATACTGTATTAGAGGCAAAAAAAAGCCGTGCAGCTGCATGGTGGGATGAATGTGGTCTTAATATGTGTACTGGTTTTGGCTGGGATAGAGTTAATTTTCTTCATAGTAGCTGGAATGGGGCTGTGTTTTGGATTTGTGCTGAAAACAGTGTTGATAACACAGGGATGTTTTTCGTTACTGCTGAGCAGTGCTGACACAGAGTCAAGGCCTTTTCTGCTTCTCACCCCACCCCACCAGCAAGTAGGCTGGGAGTGCACAAGAAGTTGGGAGGGGACACAGCTGGGACAGCTGACCCCAACTGACCAAAGGGATATTCTGTACCATATGACGTCATGCTCAGCATATAAAGCTCTGACCAAAGGGATATTCCACATCATATGACGTCATGCTCAGCCATAAGACTAGGGGGCAGGTTGGTGGGGGAGCTGCTGCTCAGGGACTGGCTGGGCATCGGTTGGTTGGTGGTGAGCAGTTGTTTTCATTTGCATCACTTGTCTTTCTTGGGTTTTATTTTCCTCTCTCTTTGTTATTTTTTCTCTTTTCCCTACTTTTTATTATTATTATTGTTATTATTATTATTTCTTTTTAATTACTAAACTGTTTTTATATCAACCCATGAGTTTTCTCACTTTTACCCTTCCGATTCTCTTCCCCCATCCCACCAGGAGGGGAGTGAGTGAGTGGCTGTGTGGGGTTTATTTGCTGACTGGTGTTAAACCACAACAATATTAAATTACACAAACATGATTTAAAAAAGCCTGATTAAGGGCTCTAAGCATTGCTCCTAAAGAGAAGCTGGGTTGCACATTCAAAAATGTTTGTCATGTGTGGCTGAATGTGAGTGATCCTGTCCTCACAGAGCTCTTCTTGTTGACTTTGATTACTTAGGCTCAACATCCCACCAGCTGGAATGTGTCTCTTCAGCCAGCGCATCCCAGCTGGAGGTGTCCCTGGTGAATCCAGACCTGCCCAGGTTGCCGTGTGATGTGCCTCCTCTGTATTTTGACTTACCCATTATAAGATGCAGAACAAGGTATGATCCATGACTATAGTGTGGGTAAGACTTTGCCATTTGTCGGGCAGGATCCTCATTTTCTTTCAGTGTCTGTACAGGTAGTTTGGGAGTTGAAGGACTTCCTACAGCTGCTACTATGGCTGCACCTGAGCACTTCCTAAGCTGTGTTGCATTTATCCTTGTTTCAACTTAATGAAGCACTAGGCTAGCTAGCATGAGAGTTGGAGTGAGGCTTCTTGGAGAGGCTAGACTCAGATCTTCAAAGGTTTGTAGACATCAAATTCTTAGATGCAAAACTCCCAAAAAAATCTTGGGGGGATTTTATCAGCTTTTGGTGTCCTTGACCTGTCCAAGATCATAGAGAGAGGTTATGAGTAGAGAAGGAAACAAATACGGTTTCAAGCACCAGCTGGGCAATCTAAGCTCCCTGTTTTCCATCTTGTCATAACTTTAAAGAAGGTTGGTTGACTGGAAGACTAGGGGTATCTCAAGAGACTGTAAGAGTGACCCTAATGGGGTCTTCCATCTCTTGCTACTGTGATTTGGCTGGGAGTTAATTCTGCTGAATGCTGAGCTGAGAAACTGTGTGTGTTAAGGATGCAGCGTTAATTTACAAACCAGGATCAAGATGCCCTGTAAATCCAGACAGCCCTGGGTTATTATAATAGTAATGAATAACAATTATTCATTAGTATTAATGAACACTAATGAACATGTCTGTGTTTTGTATTAACATACAATTTGGATAGAGTTCTGATGTAGTCCTATCACCTTCTGCACTTAACTGTACTTTCTTGCTGTGCCTCCACATTTCTTTTAAATTGTACTTTTAGAGTTTGTATTCATATGTGTAAAGTTTGGGTTCACAGTGTAAATTTGCTTTGCTCTATCAAAGCCTCATTGGACCTACTAAGAATGGAGACCATGTGAAGGACCTGGCATTTCCTGAAAAATAAACCCAATCTGTATAAAAATAACATAACACATTTTCTTCCACCTAGGCCCTCACCCCAGGAGGGTTTGTACTATGTGGAGGTGGCCTTTAAAGGACACGTGATTAACAACCTGACTGAGGTGGAGAAAGAAAACTGTACTTTCAAGGTAACCACCGAGCAAGTATAGAAGAGATGATAAAGAATTCAACGTATTGAAGGGAGTCAAACTTCAGACATAGTATCACAGGGAATATATTGAAATATCTCTCATATACTGTATGTCTGATTGTATGTCAGGACAAGAAGTTAGGATGCTCCTTCTGTCCCTTAAAACTAGGTGCATCAAGGTACTCATCAGCCTGGCACTGGATAGACTAGGTGACCTAAGAGGTCTTTCTGAATCAAAAATCTGTGTCTGCACTTAAGCCACACGGTCAGAAGACCCTATTGTGTCAGAAGACCCCATGCCGGCTTCTTTTGGTGTTACCCTCCAAGCTGCAGGGTGGCAGCTAGCAGTCTGCACTGACAGGTAACCGTGGGCAAGAATACCTCCCACGGGCACAGCTGGTTCCAGGAAAGGACATCTCTCCAGGTCTAGGACAGCTCTCCACACCTAAGATGAACAAGATTTGGAAAGCTCAGACCTCAGTTGTGATTTCATATCTGTTGCTCAGTTATTTTGAGAGCTTGCTACTCTTGCCCAAACCAGTATTTTCCCTTTGGCTCTCAATGTCAAAGCGCATTGCCTCAGGAGGTTGTGGGGTATGGTGATATTAGACCAGCCAATGACGATGGTGTCAGGATCTCTTGCAGAGCAGAATCCTTAACCATGGCTGTGTGCTTCAGGATGAGGCCTGGTGTGTTCAGAAGTCATGTCTCACCTCTGTGCTAACTTTGAGTATTAAGCAAGAAAGCCCAGCGTTTGCAGTAAATTGCACATTAAAACCGAAGAGTCGTTGGGTGGTTCAGCTATCTTAGAGAGCTCATGAAAAATCACCAGGGGATGCTGTTAATGAGGCACATTCCAAGCTAAATAAAACACAATGTGTCTCTTTGTTTTGGGACTGGGAGCTATGCGTATTAAAAATTAATTTTGCCTCCACAGTAGATTGAAAAAGCCTGCTGCAGGCAGCAACAAGTCTGAACAGCTCAGAAGACTTGTGTCAGCTAGTGGCCCTAGCTTTCATGCTGGTTTTGGCTTCTTTCTCTGCATCAGCTCCAGCCCAGGGTATGGTGTGATGTTGCCTTTGCTTCTCAGAAATGGCCGTCACTGCAGGGAGTTTGTGGCTACTTATTCATTATTTACATGACCATGAGGAAGAGGGAAGTGAAAACTGAGCTTCGAAAGGGAACGGGGTTCAAGGAAAGCTTGGGAAAAACCAACATATGCAATGGTGTCCTTGATTTGATTCTGCAAATGAGTTTTTTACACTATCTACTGGGCTGACAGCAGCATCCGTAAGTATAAGTGAGGACACGAGAAGACTCAAAAAGAAGGTGGGGAGGATGGAGATGTGTGGAGAAGGCTCTGAGAAATGAGTGATTTGGGGAACGGGGACACATGCAAAATGTACTTTTTCTGTAAGGTTAATGAAATCGAGCAGTTAATGATGCAGATGGAAACAGGATTTAGCCAGCTAGCAGTACTGCAGGCCAGATTTATGGAGGTATTTGTAGCTCCTAAGAAAGCAGAGAGACAAATCGATTTTACAAAATCTGAACAAGCCAGGTGCCTTTATACATCACCTTAAGCCCAAGACCCCTAAATACCTTGATGGATCTGACCCTCGTTTTTCATATAATGATTTTTAGCCTGGAGAAAAGGAGGCTCAGGGGAGACCTCACCGCTCTCAACAACTACCTGAAAGGAGGTTGTAGCGAGTTGGGTGTCAGTCTCTTCTCCCAAGTAACTAGTGATAGGATGAGAGGAAATGGCCTCAAGTTGTGCCAGGGGAGGTTTAGATTGGACATGAGGGAAAATGTCTTTACTGAAAGAGTGGTTAAAGATTGGACCAGGCTGCCCAGGGAAGTGGTTGAGTCACCATCCCTGGAGGTATTTAAAAGACGTGTAGATGCGGCGCTTAGGGACATGGTTTAGTGGGCATGGTGGTGTTGGGTTGACGGTTGGACTCGATGATCTTAGAGGTCTCTTCCAACCTTAATGATTCCATGATTCTATGATTTTCATTTCCAGAGTGCAGAATGCTGCACTGGGGAAAGATGATGACAATATTCTTATTTTTCAGAGCAGATATCTGAGGAATACAGAATTGACGTGGTTTTGCCAAGGTCTCCCTGCAAAATGCAAGGCTGTGCCAGTATTAGTTAGCAAGGCAGGGTCAAGATTGTTCCTTGGTGTCGTTTTTTCTGCTTTGAGTGATGGCAAGTCTCCTCCCATTA